CTATATAATAATTTTCTGTGACCCAACTAGGTACAGCTTCTGACAGTTCGCGAGATTCAAGAGACTGATCTTCAAGTATACTGAAGTTTACTGAGAAATTCTCCAAACTTAAAGAAAAGTAGTGGAGGACCAACACCTCTTGGACCAACACCTCTTGGACCCTAGGACCCTTGGCGCAACGAAAACTTCAAATTAGGTTATAGGGAGAAAAATCATCACAAATGTTATCTTACTCAAATTGTTCTAACGATCAAACCTTTTGCATCTCTTTAAAAAGAGCCCAGTCCATTATAGGTAACTATGTATAAAGGATTTCAGAGTCAGATACGGGAACATATGTCAGGTTTCATCAAGGAAGTCATTTCTCATTTCACAATGTGAAAGTGATATGTACACATCGAATGAAAAAAATTACAGATTACGATGAAATTTTGCTGATGGATAATTTATCAAATTTGTCGGAGTTCGTTAATTAGCAATGTAGGCCAAAAAATAAGGAATGCCCTTTTGACATCTCCGTTAGTTATGAACCGAATTGAATGAAACTTAGGTATAGCTATAGCCATATAATACGCAATGCCATAAGCTATAGCCATTAGCCATACCCAGGAGTTCGTTTGCTATATTTGTTTACACATTTATTGAGATCTAATTGCAATCAACAGTTATAACAATAACCTTTAATTTTCATATCGTATGAATTTTTTTTCAAAATTGTTTTTTTTTGCCTATAACTTTAGATTTTGATTTTGAGGTCCAATCGACAAAATACGAGACGTTTTGGATTCTACGAAGCTAAATTGATAGGAAAAAGTGTATTCCCGAATATTTTTGGAGTAATCGATTTTCGGTGAAATGCAAAGGCTATACACTTGCATATATTTTGTGTCGGAAAAATGCATTGTCTGAAATCGACAGGGAAAAAACATTTGCTTGTAAATGTTGGCCTGCAGAATCCATATCTTCAAACAGTTTGAAGATTGGGCCACTAAATCCAAAGTTATAGCCCATTGAATTTTATTTCGAAATTGTTTTTTTGCCAATATCTTTTGATTCAGAGGTCCAATCGACAAAATACGAGACGTTAATCTACGAAGCTAAATTAATAAGAAAAGTTTTCCCGAACATTTTTGGGGTAGTAGATTTTCGGTGAAATACTATACCTACATATTTTCATTCTCAAGTTAAACAGAAACAGTCGAATAAATTACGAGTATAATATATAAGAAATAAAATAGAGGCATTACGTAAAAGTTAAAAATATAATGTATAAAAGATTTGACAAGTAATAAAGTTTTAAAACAAAAGATTGATAAACCACTTAGGACCTAAGTACCTGTAAGTGAATACCTAAATACAACCAGCGAGAAACTGTTAGTTAAAATTTATCTTTATCTACTCATCAAATAATTGTGTATCACTGTATTTGTTTATCTTATTTTGTTTTATGTGTATGTGTATATTTGTTAATGTTATGCACCAATGATGTGTCGAAGAAGGATGGTATACTTAGTTGGCCTTATACCGGGTGAATATTCCCAAACCGAACATATAGGGCAAGATGATTTTTTTCCTAGTCTAATGATATACGAATTAGTTCATTTTCAGGTGTATTTCTCACTTATTTATCAAAAATTTATTGCCGAATTTTTACATAAAATAATGAGAAATACACCTGAAAATGAAGTAATTCGTATATCATTAGACGTGAAAAAAAAACCTTCTTTCGACTGGTGTCATTATAAACCCTCTAAATTAACATGGGGAGCAACTATCTGCAAAAAACGTTTTTCCCATGTTAATTGCCTATGTTCGGATTTAAAATATTCACCCGGTATACGTCGAATATTAATTTCTAAACTGAATGATGTTTTTGACTTTTAGAGGCAACCACAAGCGATCCTTTCTTACTCCAGCATGCGACCATAATTATGTCGGATTCGTTAGTGTTCTTAAAATTCTTCAGGGATGAAAGGCACCTATCCATACCTAACCCGTAATACTAGAATCTTACTATACAGACTCCAGGGTGCAATTTCTCTGGATAAAGAGTCACGTAGGAATTGCAAAAATGAAGAAGTCGATCGGTTGGTCAAATCTGCAGTAAGAGATTGTACATGCCAAGAGACATCACGCTTGAATTCCATATAGTTGGGACCAAAACTCCGAACACAACTGGACTGCGAACATATACATTACGAAGGATATTTCGCGTACATTCATCCCACTGAGGTATTCGGTTATTAGATTAAAGCTCGGATATGGTCAACACCTCGCTCATCTGCATAAAATTGAGATCATACAACCGACAGAATGTGAATGCGGTTTCCAAGTAGCCATGAACCACCATATTTTGTTATGTGAATTGAACAAAGATCAAAACAATAAGTTAATTGTAGAACAAAAATTACTCTTCCAACAAACACCATTTGTCTAATTTATTACATTTGCAAGTCAGGAACACATTCAGTCCATGTTAGACAGTTTCTACATACTTTGTCGTTTACGGTAGGTATACGAGTATCCTGGGTCGGTTCTTTTTAGATGGCGTAAGTCGAGCCTTCCTTACTATCTCACCCATTGTCATTTATATCACAATGTCTTATGACGAGGACTTTTATAGAAAGCTTCCAAGGCCTACCATTTCCTATGTAAAATTCGCCCTAAACGGCTCCTGCGCGTGAAACATGTCGAAAGCGTTTCTCTCTAGTTTCCTTTTTGACTATGTAACCCATTAGGCATATATGTACTTTTTCTTCAACCAAGTAGCTATAGTTTGTCACACTTTTAAGTACATAAAATAGCCGATTTTGAGAGTAAAACTTATCACCATGGTAACTGTACAAAATTGCGCTAAAAAAGTAGTTACCTCGTTCCGAAAACGCACATTTTTCGTACTCATGAAACAGATTTGTCTGACGCTCTGAGCAAGCTAAAAGTAATAAATATCCATACCAACTCGTATCGACGATGAAATATTAACGCAACGCGTTTTGGTAGCAAGATTAGGATTAATGTTTGTCCTTATTTTATATAGCTAATCGCCGTTAGAAGAAAAAATAGCTCGAAAAATATAGTCTGTTTACTATTGTTAACTTCTTTAGTTGTACAGTTATGAAAATTGTGTATTTTTTCTACTGAATCCAAATGTGTAATTCAAAAAACAAAACATCGCATTTATCAGGTAATAACAAAAATGTGACATTTTTATATGGGACACCCTGTATATTATCTGGCTGCCAGTACAGCAAGAGTTTAGAGGTTTCAACTGCAAGATTTTAATTTGAAAAACCAAACTAAAGTAGCAAACACAGAAAAACAAATAACAAATAAACAACAAGTAGCAAAAGTAACAAAAAGAATTATTTTTAGAACACACAATTTCGATATACATATTTAACTTGACAACTCAGTTGATTTAAACGTTAGTTCTTTCGTGAATTTCTTAGTCTATATACTTGATATAATTGAGGTGTTTTCCAGAGAGAAATAATAAAGACGTGAAATGTGCCAAATTAATTTATTTTGCATTTGACTTCGTTTTTTAAGATTCATTCATAACCAGACAACCCAAATTTGATTTTGTGGGAATTTTTGTAAATAGAATTGCACTATATTTAAAATCCTGTGTCACTCGATGGGGGTAGGGGTTCATATTATAACTTAAAAGTGAGAGTGTCTGGAGGTGCGGAGATTAATGGAAACTAATGTAAACCTTTCATTAAACTTCCCCCTACCTGCCTAAATGGACGAGTTTATGCAATTTTTGTGTTTTTATAAAAATTAAAAATTACAATGGTGTTTCGTTTTCTACTGAAATCCCTGTATGTACTTACAATGCAAATGTGGAGTTGCGTCTTTCTAGGGGTTGTGTACATCATGAATAAAAATATTTACCTAAATACAGAGCAACATTGATGTAAAAATTTATATTTTCGTTCTCGTTCTTTACGTATAATGGTACCAGCTACCAGCCTTACTCAAGTTGGAGAATTGTGGGCTTTTGTTAGAAAATTTTAAATACTTTTGCCCCATTCAGTAAAACACAATTGTTCAAAATAGGTTGAACAGACTTTTCTAAATTACGACGCATTTAAAAGCTTGTATTTGTTGTTATAAACGACATGTAAATAAATTTCTTCTCCCTATTTCTGAGCAACAATTTTTCAATTGTTGGAGAATTGTAGACTTGAGTAGATTTCCAATAAATTAAATCACAAAAATCTTTTCCCAGATATGGTGGATTATGCTGGGGGTGTCAATATAAAGCCTATCCTAAAACAATCTGAGATTCAAAGTTCAGTGCTCATCATATGTATAACTACGGTGCACCCATAAATTATTTTTTATCGCTCATTTTAAACGTTTTGTTACCAATTATGCTCACTAATTAAAGAAAGTGTGTTCAACATTGTCTCTCATTTGTACTAGTATTTAAATAACAAGTACAAGAAGGAACCTAATGTTGCGTTCATTGGCTAAGTATCTTTAGAGAGAATGTTTCTGATTTGCTCACAAGTTTCTAAGGAACACCTACCTGCGGCGTACGTGTGTTAAGCAGGTGTATAAAGCAAGGTAGACGCACCATGACTTTTTGTTCGTTAACATTACCCATATCTCTAAAAAGTGATATTAATGAAGGACTTCAGTAACTTACACTTACGGCAATATACTGATATAATATAGATATTATCCTACTCTCTGAAAGAGAGCTTTTACGAGTGGTAACGTCCTCGCGAATTAATGTCACTCGCTTTCCGCGCTTACTCAAGGGCTGGAAGGGTTCGTCGTCTGACCTCGCGTTGGAATCTTCGCATGATACAGTATGATAATAATAATTCGCGGCGTCCAAAATTGAATGAACGCGTTTAAAGTAAATAAAGCACCTGTATGGTTGAGACTAAGAAAGGTTTACCTTAAGAACCACGTGCTGATGAGGGTGGGGACTTCTTAGCAAAGGTAAGACTCTTGAGGGTCAATGCTAGTTCAGTGCCACACCTGCAAGGCTGCGGTCACTAGATTAGCGCGAATTAGTTACAAACAAAGTCACGTGTGCGTTTACTCACGAAATTAATAACAAACCGAACTAAAACAATAAGTGTTGATTTGTTGGACTTAAAACTGCCAGTTGACACGAATTCTGGACCATTATATTTTTGTTACAGTTTTTATTGAGTTGTTAAGTTTTGGGCACTGATATTATTCGCACCCGTTATAGATTGCAATGACTCTATTTTGTTGAACTTTTGAGTGTTTATATTTGTTTGACGTTTTGAATCATGGAAACTTGCGTACTGATACCGCAAGAATTTAGCCTTTGCGTTAGAATTCCCCCTATTGCCTCCAGAAAAATGGAACCGGAGGTTTCGGTATGGACGAATAATTCCATCTCGCAAGGGGTTCTCTGCTACCCGTTTCAAGGAACAATTAGGCTGGACAAGCTGGAGGTTTATGGGCAACTTGACGATGACGATGTAAGTGTTTTTTGCCAATTATTAAATCATCCAAGCGTGAAGTGTGAGATACATGTTTTGTTGTGGAATCTTTTGAGGGTTAAACTAATTTTGCATATTGTACAATGTAGGTCAGATGCCAAAAGGAGTAAACAAAAGAATTACACTATTGGCACGCAAATTTTTAGGTTTGAATTTTTACAATTAAATACTTTTATTATTACTAATATCTGCAATTCTATTGTTGCTGTATTGGTGTGGGAACTTACTTTATTTGTTTCTAACGTAGTTTTATGTTTATTCGTATAATTATAAATTTTATTCATGTACGTATGTACCCATAACAACATATTCCAACCTTTTTATTAAAACCTTGAATTATACGAAAGAATGTGTTATAAATTATGAAAATTTTGATTAATAAGCGACTAAGTATGTGGCATTAATGTACATTAACATTTCGAAAATAGAAGTTCAACAATTTAAAAAACAAGGTAGGGCTTACTTCCGTTTTGTGGCTTATCATTTTGAGAAATATGGCTTTATATTTATTATTTTATTTAGTTATTACCGTATTTCTGTATTAAATCCATGGGGTAACATCCATATTTTCCCATAATTTTAGTGATTATAAAGAAGTACCTATTTCTAAATGTCTTGTTTTTTATCTGATTCATAGCCAAAACTGTTATTGACAGTTGGACTCTGTTGTAGGTGGATGTAATTAAATTTGCATAAGTTATCAAGATATATGTTACCTACCTTAAAGTGATTCCTAAGTACTTAAAATTTCCGGGCCCTAACGGTATTTTTGTCAACAGCATCCCACTCGAATCAGGAAATGATAACTATTAAGCTAATTTTGTTGAAACTTACAGGAAGTATATAGATTTTTGAATTAAATGTTCTCATTTACGGTATTAAACTTCCTGTCTTTAATTTTGGTTGGTGATCTAACAACTCCTGCGAAATTCAGATCTACAAATTTATTCAAAAAAAGCTCCGAATTCGATCAGCCGGATCCAATAAGAACTATATATAAACTAACATATATTAATTAGCGGTGGATTCCGAAAAAAAACTAAATCAGTAACTTACGATCACTAGGTGTGTGAACTAATTTCAGAAAAACCGACAGAAATTGTTCAACTACTATAGTGAATTCGAGTTTTTTGGGGTTTCACCTTCCCAATGCCAAAGTAGTTAATTGGGATGGTCCACCGTTTTCTCTAAACTTAATTGATACGAAAACATTTTTTTATAAATGTTTATTAAACAAGTATGAAAAGCAAATCTATGGTGTCTTCGTTCCAAGAGATTCATTTAATCCTTTCTACATACAGCTGCAGTAGAATTAATTGAAGAGGGCAAATATCAAGCTCTATTCGCCCGTCTGCCAATTCGGATATACATATAAATTTCGTACACTAGAGCCTTATACTTTCTCGTTTGTCAATACTTCATCCTATACGAAATCCGACTCAAAAGATATGAGGCACCTAGTCCACTGAACTATACGTACCTTATTGGACTGTGTATATAGCAGTATAGGTACGTAGGTATACCTAATAATACCTAAGGGGTTGAGTGATACTTTATTGAGCTAAAGTCATCATGTCATAGAAACCTACATTTAAATCACCAATTCCATTGACAAAAAATGATGGTTTTTCATCCCCCCTTCCCACTAACAAATGGAAAAGTGGAAAATTCGGACGAGCTGTATCTGTATGATACTTTGCAAAGTGAATATCTCTAGAACGATTTTTATGAAAAGTATACTTAAACAACAAGGAAAGGAAGAGTGGACAGAGAAAGTGGCTCGATTGGCCCATGTAAAAATTGTGCATTGAATTTAATTAAAGAAACTAAAATTTCAGTTGAGCACAAGATCACATAACTACTGCACACATAACTCCCAAAAACGTTGTGAACGGGAAAAGTACCTAATTTATTCTTAGAGCCCATCAACATCCATACTTGTCATTTAGCCGGCATATAAAATTCTATGCGTAGAGTGCATATTCACGTATAACTAAATGAGCACAAAAATTTTATACAACGTTATTGGCATATCGAGAGTTGTGGGGGAAATTTTTGTTTCAACTAAGCAGATTGTTATCTCGAAATTTCCACAGATTATATATAACGTATGATTGAATATAGAAAAGCAGAGTTTTTGACACAGCAGAGCCATTTTTAGTTACGAAATCATTAAAGGCAAACGCCCTCCATGTTGTAACAAAAAGTATTAATTCATATGCTATTTGATAAGTTCGTTATCTGCATCTGCACTTGATTACTATGCAAACAAATAACGGGCGATCAAAAAAATATTGACGTCGAGTCGCTTTTGGAAGTTCAATTTAAAAATGATTGTAACCAAAAATTCCAAAGGTAACTCGATACCAACTCATTTTTGATCGCTTATAGCATAATTTATGCGCATAAGACTGTCCAACAGCTAAAAGCAGCGCATTATCGCATAGGGTGAAATTACTTAGTGGGTGCAAAATCACGAAGGAGGAAAACAGTTTTTCCCGGTAATGTCTTTAATTGTGGTTCATTTTGTTGGACCTGTACAAAATGTACAAATTACTTATATGAAGAGATCTTTTTCGGGGTCCAGTTCTATAAAAAAAAGGCGAAAAATCATCAAAAGAACACCCTTTTATGCTATTTTAGTAGGGTCTAAAACACTTTTACGATTGTGAGGCAAAATTTTATTCCAACAGCGCAGTTTGTTACTAAGGTTTAAAGTGACATGTACGATTAAAAATGGCTTTGAGTACTATAGGTGAAGAAACGTGCACAATTACCTACCGGCGCATAATTTGCTCTAAATTGTCGCACGAGGAAAAGGTCTTTTTAAGGCTGGTTGCGTACACGTTTTCCAAATTTGCAACATCATTACTTCTGAAAATCTGCCAGCAAAGATCTCTGGTACAGATCCGTAAAAGTACTGGTTTTACACTATAATTTTATGGTTATTTTGTGCCTCTCGTATTTTGGGTTTTCAATTCTTCAATGTTTCTAAACGTATTTAAACTTTTCATTATGTTACTTAAGTTTCGTCTGATATTGTCCTATTTTTGCCGTTATTAATAAATATTGAACTTTTCATAACATAACTCCGAGCATAACTCCTACTTCTTTCCAAAGATTCTGTAGGAAAATTTGAAAACTCGTTTTTCTTTTGTTTTTTTCCAATAAAATTTTGCCTTTTACGTGAAATTTAATGGATACCGTTACGTTCACTTTGGACAAATGTAACAAAATCACCTTGAGATAAGTACACGGTAAGCTCAGGCAAAGTAGATATGGGTCGGGGTGAATATCGGGGTGCTTTTACACTAGCAAAAATAAGCAAAAAGGGAATGTAGTAAAAGTAAATCGGATAAGCGCCCTTCAGTCTTAAGTAAATTTCAAAAAAGAATAGCAAATGCTTACCACATGAGGAAACAAGGCAGACTAAGAGATTCGTGTTCTGGTCTTGACGAGCTAAAGGAATAAAGTCCTTGATGGGTAGCACATAAACAATAAAACAGGCTTCCGCAGATAGTAATGCAGCTATAATAGTTAACATTAAAATTGATGGGCGCGTTCAACCTAATCTGTACCAGACACAAACAAACAAACAAGAATGGTAGTGAATAGCGCGGCACATAAAGTATTGCGTACGCAATGCTGACACGGAGGCAATCGGATATTAAACCATAATTAATACTCAATAAGAATCAATAATTCGAATGACTTTACAATTTTGAACGGCCAAGGGTTATCCTTACATCTGTCTAAAAGCATAAACGTGCAGTTAAATTCAAGAAAAGTACTTTACGATGCACAAGAACTAAATTCTACTCATCTAATTAATTAGTATAACTAAAAATTGTAAATATCGGCTTCGGGTCAAGTCTCGGTAACTTACAAAATTAATTTAAAGAGCAACGGTAGCTAATATATTAAATCATACAGCTAATATGAAGGATATAATGTAATGCAACTAATAGAATTGAATTCTCGGAGTAACAAAAGTAATCGGATCTCGATATCAGTAAGGTCAAATCTTCGGCAACAACAAAGTACGTAGCATCAGATATAGCGGAGCGATTTACAAGATAATAATCCCCAAAGGGGTTTCGTTAATACTTACAGTTATAGCAACTATCTTGTAATATCCAGGTATAAACTCGAAGTCGGATGTAGGTAATGTAGAAACTCCATCTATCGCATGACGCGCGCCAATGTAAATCCCAATAATAAGATGGAGGGTCCAAATGAAAGTGCGCTGTCATTCACGTACGGCGTAGGTAGTAGGTAATATCCAAGTAGATACAACATAAAAAGTATTCCAAAAGAGAAAATTAAGAAAAATATACGACAAAAGGTTAAAGGAAGGTTAAACCCAGGGTTAAACTCCTCGTATTGTTTATATGCAAATATAAATCCGTAAAACACTTCAATGAATACACAGCCACAGCCATCAAAGAGAGAAAGAAAAACCACTCCAAAGATAATATGGTAACACCAAAACACTAATCCCTTTTCACAGGTATGACACGAAGCCAGTAAAAGTAATGGCGTATCAAAGAAAAATTTGCATGTAAGCAATGCGAAAGCAGAAACTTCACTGAATATAAAGAAATACAACTGCGCGCAATACTAAATTAAAGAAAGGGTAGAATTAAGTGCAGGAAGATACAACGTGCAAACTGTAGCAACAAGACAAAGAAGTAAGTAAAAGGAACCTGTAACACTTGAACGGACTCTAACGGCAAAACAAAGAACTATTGTAATACGAAATTTATAACATTTGGAACAAAATTTTACTACAGAAGCAACTTTAAACTAGTGGATTACAAATAAGATAACTATAGGAATATCAAATTTACATTACAGTTAAAAGAACGTAACAAAACTTGTGTAGGGAGTAGGAATTTTTTGGTATCAAGATATATTTGATGTTCGTCCTGAAAAGAAACTTCATCTCCAACGCCCATGTTTAAAAACTGGATTTTAAA